ATCAAATGACCTCATAAACAGGAACCTGGTTCTGTTTGTTCAGATAAGACTCGGAACGTTGTGTGGTTATGTATAAACTCATTTCTCTAGCTAAAGTATAGCATACTAACTGAATACATGAGTACTGTGAGAGCGCTAACAGGACAATAGTCGTCTGCATTTTTGCTTTACCTACAGCAACAAGATCATCAGTTCAATTCTCGACAATATCTCATGGTCTTTCTGTAGGCAGTTTACATTGTCCCCATGTGTACATGGGGAGAATGGCTTACCTGGGTCTTTCTTCAATTCCTGCAGGTATATCAGTGTTGTGTTCAATGAAACAAGCCCAGTGAAATAAACTAGGACTAAAGTATATATTGTTGCATATACTTTGTGACGTTGATGTTTGTTGACACACTGGGATTATAAAGAGAATTAGATCTTGTCTCTTGATTCAAACATTTTCAGTGAAAATAATAAAAATAAATAATTTACACAGATCCCTGGTGTCAAACACTTGAAGGGCTTGTTGTAATTGGAAGACTGTAAAGATCAGGGGTCGCCAACCCCCGGTGTGTGGACCAGTACCAGTCCATAGGTTATGTGGTACTGGACCGCAGTGGGACACGGTAAGAAAAAATGTCCTTAATTTTTACTAATTTACTTCAGTCATATCCATTTACATTTTTTATTTAAAGATAATCTGGCAATATTTTAAAAATAAAATGTCATTCAGACTTTGATACAAACAGAATAGAGTTTAAAGATGATCCTTCAATTTAATTCTACCGGTCTGTAGTAACGGGTGGTACTGGCTGACCAGTCCCTGGAACAAAAACGGCCGGGGACCGCTGGTGTAGATGTAACTACTCCATAACAGACTTTTCATTGCTGTGTAATAAAAAAAACTTTAATTTCTCAGGTTAAGAAACTCTGCTGCATGGACTTTACTAAATGCTTTTTAAGGACCACACAAAACAGCTTGGCGGGCCACATTTGGCCCCCGGGCCTTGAGTTTGACACATGTGCCCTGATGTGTTGGCGCTTCTTTTTAAGACGAAGGTGTAACCAAAGCAGAAGCAATACTTCTACCGTTAATCTAGGGCAGTGACTGTAACTGAACATCATGCAGCACTTTTCTACACATGTCCTGAATCGACGGGATTTTCTTTGGGGCCGTTCAGCTCAAGGCAGCAGATTTGAGGAGAATAACGTAATAAATCACTGGACCCTGACAAATAACACGACGAAAAGCACAGGCAACTGATAAAGCAATTATTGGAAAAGTGACCTTTGACCTGCAGAACGTAGCTGTGCATTGTGCTGGGTGGCTGTGCATTAGCAGTCACAAGGGGTCAGCAGAATGGTTCGGCTCTTGACCAGAATGTTTGGGAGTTCACTAATTTGATGATGCTGTGTTAGTGTAAAAAAACATTCATGATCATAACAACCACTTGTGCCTTTTCTGCCGCTCAAGATTTTTTCCCATCTGTTTGAACAGGAAAGAACTTTCACTTATTTACACCATTCCAGGAACTGCCACCCTGGGTGAGGGGGCGGGGGGGGATTGTCTGTGATTCATTGCAACTTCCCATTACGATGCTTGAGCAATAGTATTGACTAATGTCTCAGTCTCATATGTCTTTAGTGTGTGGATGTAGGTGTGTGCATAACACACTTTAAATGTAGGTAACGGTGCTGTTTGTGTTACAGCACAGGAGGTCCTTGGATTACGACGCCCTTAAACTACGATGTTTCGCCACAGCTCCTACGTATACATTGATAAAAAAGTCTCATTATCTTCATTATCGCTCACAAGCATAAGTTTGATTCTTCTGGTGGCGCTTTGGTCCAGAGGTGATGTCTCTGTCATTGGTGTGGAACCCCAGGGTTCACCTCCTGGGTGAAGATCAAATCCCAGTTAGGGCGGTTGGTACCTTCCAGTGGACTGACCACCTGCAGGAAGGTTCAGGGGGGCTGGTACGGTGCAGTGTGATTTGGGTGGCGGTCGTGGAGACCCCTGCTGCCCCCGCGACCAGGTAATGGATAAGTGGATGAAAATGGATGGATGGAATAAAGAATTCAACAGTAAACTTTCCATGTGGTTTTCTTTGCTGTTTGTTCAGATCAAATCCATGTAAAAACGAATTGTCCTACATATTTTGCAAATGTAATATGTTCTAACTTTGGGAAAACATTTGAGTTACGTCACTGCTATGAAGACCCACTGTATCAGCAAAGAATGAACCGTTTTTACTGATGAAAAAATAGGAAAGGAAAGTGAACGCCTTGTCATGGTGACACAGCTCACCACAGCACACAACCAAATGTGACCTCTGCTTTTAACCCATCACCAAAGTGAACAGTGGGGACGGTGCCGTGCTCAGAGCACCTCAGTGGTAACTTGGCTGGTGGATTCAAACCTGCAACCTTCCGGACTCAAGTACACTTCCTTAACCACTGAGCCACCACTGCCCCATGAGCATGTAACTATAGGTGTGGATTCACTGCATGTTTTTATTACCACAGATAATGATTTTAAATATATATACTGTATATATATATATATTTATCTATGATAGTCAGGTGATTTCACGGTGAATCCTTCACTGCACATCTGTAATGATTCTAATTTGATATTATCATTGATAAAGGACTTATCTTTTATTAGTTCTTGTGACATAAACATAAACTTAATGAGTCCTGGTCATGTGTGGGAACTACGGTGTTGTTTCATAGGAAGGATCATCATACACTGATTAACAGAATGAATAACGTCTGGTGTGGTGTGTGTTTGTGTGTAATGACCCTGGAGAGAGGATCTGGCAACGCTTCCATAGAAAACACATGGCGTTGCTGTGGTGAAGAATGGAGTTTGAAAGACGTCTCCTGGTCAGCTGAGGTTTTTTACCGGCACCTCTTCTTCTTCTTTGTAATTCCATAGGCAGTGAAACCTGGAAATACACAGACACACCAGTTTGTGCAGGTATAAAAGTATTGACTTTTACTAACCATTACTGAGACTCAGATAAGGTTAAAGGTCACAGCTTTGTAGGCAAATGAGCTTGTGACGCAGGCTCCATGTTGTATGGTTCAAAAACATGTCACGAAAAAGTAACCAAAGAGTCTAAAATCAAACCTAAGTGTTGGCTGTTGATTGTGTCTATATTTGGTCATGAAACGGACCGAGTCTCAGCTTCTCCTGCAACAGTGGACAGGACAAAATGGTAGAAATTCAGAGATGGACGATGAACGAGCCAAGCTCAGCTGTTCAGTACAACCAACCAAGCAAAATATAACATTTAAAAAAGTCTTTAACAAAAGCCTCAGTTCTGAACGTTTGACTAGCGAGGGCCAGGTTTTGTTTCTTTGATTTTCAAAAACCAGTTTAAATACCAAAATGGTTGTCATAGGTCACAACGATGTCTTCACACTCACAACCCAGGTATTTGATATTCACCTAATGAGCCTACATGTGGGACTAATATAATTAAATGAAGCCACTGCTTCCCCCGCGTCTCCCACTCCTCCTCTTTCTCTCTGTTTGACATTATCAGGCCACACTGAGCAGGAGTAAGTAATGTGAGCACATCCAGGCTGGATAATTGGGTTTGGACTCATCCAGGTTCA